TTATTATTATTATTATTATTATTATTATTATTATTATTGCCCTTTCTGCTGCTCCACATATGCACTCTGCACAAGCTGCAATCCTGGTAGCAAGAGCAACAGCTGCCTGTGCTGAGCCGCTGCCATCCCCAATTTGGCACCATGGTCTGGCTAAACCAACCCTACAGACTGTCTGTCAGCCTGCCGGGTGCGGGCTGCATGTTCTGGGAATGGTGTCCTACGGTGACGGTGACCGGCGTGGCTCCTCTTTTGCGAGCGGAGGCGGGGCCCACACGGTTCCTGCCATCCGCATCAGCCCCCGTTTGCAGGGTGAGGTCCCATCCCCACACATCACTTCTGTCAGTCGCTCTTCAATGAGCAGCCCCTGGCCAGGCGTCATTTGGCTCTTGCAGTTCACAATTGTTTTCCCCCCTTAGCAGGACCCTGGGTGAAACGTGCCCCGCAGTAACGTTAAGATGCATTCGGGGCACTCTGCAAGCTGGTTTCATAAAATTTTAGTGAATAATCTTTGGCTTTGACAAAAGTAAAATAAATCCTACATATTGCTATAATCTGTTGAGAAAAAAGGACATTTGGAGGTATGTGTTCATTTGGCTGAGCTAAAGGCGGTCACGCCACACACCCTACACCGTGGGTTTAGCCAGGTTGGCTGACAAGTTATTTAAGATAAAATCTTTGGGCATTGCCCAACTGCTCAATGCGGCAGCGGGAATTTATTCTGAGACTACCATGCCAATACCGGCTTTTCGCTGCTCAGCCTTGTCCTTGCTGAATGACGTTACGGTCACTGGAAATCACACAGCTTAAACTAATGCCAATATCTGTTGTTTAGGGTGGGCAGAGACACAAAGGAACCAGCAGCGAGCCGGCCAGCTTCTTCCCTGAGCTCTGCCAGGTCCATCGATGCTGCGGATCTGGGGAGGATGGCGAGTCCCTTGCTCGGTGCTAGAAGACGGGAATACGGAAAACCTCTGGCAGATGAAGAGGAACTCGAGGGCCCGAAAAAGGCTGCAGATAGGATAGGAGAGACATCCCCACTGGTGCTGCGGCAGGGGGGCTCCCCTGCCCCGGATGGGAGGTTCCCCAGCCCGCTATCTCCGACAGTGCCGAGGAGGAGAGGGCTCTCTCCGGCAGCAGGGCCGGTGCCCAGCTCGTCAGCTGCCCTCTCCGAGTATGTGGAGGAGCTGCGGCGGCATCGGGGAGCGGAGCGGGAGCAAGGGCGCCCGGTGCTGGGAGACACCTCTCCCCTCCCCATTTACCGCACCACCGGTGCCGCAGCCCTGCGGCGCTGCAGGGCTTTCCCAGTGGCGGAGGAATCCCCAGGGAAGCTTGATGGGAGTCAGCTGGGGGAAGGCGAAGGAGCAGGTGCCAGCCTTGTCCGCTCCTCCAGCCTGCGGAGCATGGCCTCAGAGCTGGCTGAGCCGGCACGCTCTCCGGCGCTGAAAAGAGCATCAAAGTTCGGCTCCTACGACTCCCTCCTGCAAACCTTCAATGGCTCTGGCCGCCGGCCGAGCTCTCCAGCTGCGGGGATGGAGGTGCTGGGCACGCTGCGGCCGAGCCCCTGGAGAAGCTTCCTGGAGCCGTCAGTGGAAGATGTGGAGGTGGGAAGGGGATCTGGGGGGCTCCTGAGCTCACCATCCAGCGATGGGCTGGGCGAGGGGAAGGGGAGCGACCCCTTCAGCTGGAGAATACCTACCCTCAACTATGAGAGGAGAACCAACGTCGACTTCGACGACTTCCTCCCGGCCATTCGCAAATCCCGCTCCACCAGCAGCCTGGCCAAGCCCAGGAGGGACAGAAAGGACGGCCACCGGCCCCTCACCGTCCGCTTCCAGGATGAAGCTGTAGCAGGTGGCTCGGCATCCTCTGAGACGAAGGGCATGGCCAAGCACAGCCCGGCCCTCCGGGAGGACCCTGGGGACCTCTCTGACTCCTCTTCATCCTCTGGCTCCCTCCTCTCCTCCCGGAGCACCGACAGCATCAAGCGCCGGCCCCAGAGAGGGGACGGGGAGGGGTGCAGTGGCAAAGCCAGCACCCAGAGCAGTGGGGCAAGCCGCCGGGCAGAGGCAGAAGGGAAGGAAGATGACGTCAACAGCATCATGAGGAAGTATCTGGGAAAAGACTAAGGTAACCGTGCTCAGCCGCTGACGGGCACTAGCTCAGAGCAGTGGTGGCAGGTTTGCAGTGCTGGCCCTGAGCCGCTGCCTCTCCAGCCCACGTGGTGCCTGCACTGATGCCATGGGATGCATGAGGGATGCCCCAGGCCAGTGGGTGTCCCCAGGCTTCCCCCGGCACGCTGGAGCCACCCAGGGCAGGGAAGGCACTGGCCCGGCTTCAGCCCTGATGCCTGGCTGTGCTCCGTGCTCTGCAGCAGCTAGGACGGTGCCAGGGATGCCCTGCGGGGCATGCGGCACTGGGGATGGCACCCCCCTCGCCCTCTCCTTGCTCCCTTCGGAGCTGCAGTGGGGTGGGCAATGGGGACACTGCCGGTGCCGGGGACAGCCCCATAATTGGCCACAACACCAGCTCTGAGTCCACTGGGGTCACCCGTCCTCCTGGTTTCCCGAAGATCATGTCCCCCAGCTCCTACCACACCACCCGGCAGACACATCCTCCCGAGCCCCGCTGAGCACTCATCCTGGTGCCCATGCTTGTTCGGTTCATTTGCAATTCGCTTTGGCTGGATGCTGGAGGTTTTTAAACATGCCGTGGTTTCTTTACGCTCCTGCCCTGTTTCCATCACCGCAGCTTTGCTCAGGGCCAGCCGCGGGGACGAGGGACTTCCTTGTTCTCCTGCAGTTACTTGACTCAGGAGTTGGTGCTGTAATTAAAACCCAGCGGCTGGCGTAGAGGCCTGATAACATGCCACTCTGGCCGGGGGAAGGCCACGGGGGAAGGCCACACTGTAAAATGCTGGAGGAACACCAAACCCTCTCCTTTTTAACCCAGAAGGTGCAGCCCAGATGTCTCATCCCACGTAGCACTGCTCAAAAATCAGCTGAATGGCCGAAGGATGCTTTTGGGTCTCGGTGTGACACTCAGCAACAGCGGAGCTCTGAAGCTTTTATAATTCCGTAGATATCTGAAGACAGATCCGTACGTGCTTTCACGGCTCCTGCCTGTTTGGGACATCTGGGCACATCCCACTGGCTTGCAAGGCAGTGCTGTGGTGCGTGTGGCAATGGGAGGCTGTATTCAGATGTCTGCTTGGTTTTTACACAATAAAGTATTTGCTTCTTTGACACGAGCCTCTTCTCGTCTTTCCTTCTCCGCAGCAAGAGCAGGTCCATGGAAGCAGCGTGGTGCAGAGCCGAGCGCTCCCCCTGCCAGCCCCCATGGCTGGGGGCTTTCTCACCCAAGACCCTGCCAGCCTCCCCATCTCTCTGCACTCACAAAAAGCTCTTTTTTCAGCCTCAACCCTCTTTCCTAGAAGAGATCCAAACTTACTCATTTATCAGAGGTTTGTGGCAAAATTATACAGGTACATGAACAAATCTCTCCTTTCCATCAGTGATTTCTAAGTAATTTGCTTGACTGGGACATTTGCACCAATTTGCACAACCTCGTTGGACCCTCCAGGGTGGCCGCAGCACAGCGGCAGCTTCAAAAGGCAAATTGGGTGGTTTTCAGCATTTTCTTTTGCCTTTTGGATTCTTCACATTTATTTCTAATTTAAACGAAAGCCTTGCAGCAAGAGGCATTTTCCTTGTCACAGATGAACGCAAAACCTCCAGATGTGGGTTCACATCAGCAGTTTGCTCAGCCACCCGTTGGCTGTCAGCAATTCCCAGCAATTCCTCGCTCCCAGCCAGCTCCGCGCTGCCGGCAGCCTGGCAGGCAGGAGGCAGCTCCGCACAAGGTGACATTCCCTGTGCTTCCAGGTCTCTCTTTTGCTAGATGCGACTCATGCAAGAAGACAGCAAATGAAGAAATTACCTCTAATTAGTTTAAAATCGGCCTTTCTAATGACTCCGTTCTTTCTGGAAACAAAAATCAATGCGTTTTGTAGTTCTTACGTGCCTCAGCACCACCACCCCGGCACACACTCGGCCGTGCACCGCAGCCAGGTACGTGTGTCTGGTGGGTGGTCGGATCCTGCCCCTTCCTGGCTGGCAAAGCTGCTGTTCAGCGCCCTCAGCTGCTGGCCCTGCCTGCAGCAGCATGGTGCTGGTGCCGGCGAGGGTAATGCGGCGCTGGAGGACCAGGCTGGGTGGGTGGCCCTGAGCTGTGCATCGCCGCAGGGCTGGGACACCCCGTGCTTTGCTCTTTGCAGCGAGTCTTGCTCCCCAGATGGATTTCGTGCTCCTTTGGGCAGGGACTGACATCTCCTGGGGTCAGATTCAGACCTCAACAGCAAGAAAAACACCCCACACCAAGCCCAGCGCGGCCCGGCTGCATGGACTGTGCTTCACCCAAGCCTTCCCGGCCTTCCCTGACCAGTCGTAGGCGGGTGTCGTTGCACGTGCAATGAAGATGGTTTATTTCAGATGTTTACCCGGACACACACTTCGCTTTGGGAAGCGAGGGGCCAGCTTTCGCCACTGCAGCGCGTTCACAGGGTCCCTGCAGAGCTGGCTGTTAGTGGCAGTTTCTGTGAGCACGTTCAGTTCTCTCAGAGCTCAGTGCAACCCCAGTAAGAAAGCATGCGTACGTTTTTTTCAATCTTTTTTTTCCCTTGAAACTGGCAAATCGCAGTGCCCTGTGCCGTCACTGCAGTCCCTGCAATTTCACAAACTAAGTGAAAGTCATCTTCTCCCCAGTTGTCTCTGCATAAAGTATGCAACTCAAAGAAAAAAATAGTTTACAAAAATCCTGTACTCCCTTCTGTGCTTTCAGATGAAAAAAGAAAAATCACAGATTGTGTCGTTTGGAAGAGACATCTTCATGGTCTGCCCTTCCAACTTGTCTGGAATTTTTTAATAATATATTTGAACAAACAGTTCAGGGAACAATTTTACAAAGTGGCACTGGCTGAGCTGGGCAGGAATGGGAACTTCTTCCCAATGAACTTCTTGGCCTGAGTGATGCTGAACCTGTCCTCGCCCCCCACAAACCGCCCCGCTCAGGGGAGGCACCGCGGGAAGGCCTGCGGAAGGAAGTTGTCTGCTTGAGCAGGATTGGTGCTGGCTGTCCTGGGGGCTCTCAGCGAGACCCAGCTTCAGACAGGGGAATGAGGAGGAAACCCCCAGGATCACCTGGACGCTGCTGCAGCTCTAACGAGCTCTTGTGCGCAATTACATCCAGCGCTGATGGCATATTGAATCTGATCCTGAGTGCTGGCCCCACCGGCAATTGCTTCATTAATGAAACTGGGACCAGCAGCTCCAGACTTGGGCGATGCTCTTGGAGCCTCCAGAGAAATAAAACAGCTGGAAAAAAGATGCAGTGCAGCTGCAAACGAATCACTGCCTACCTGCTGCTGGGCTGCGAGCCGGAGGCTG